AAAAGAAGGGGCCCTACAGGGCCCCTGAAGGGGGGATGTAGGGCCTGAAAGGGGGGCGCGAGAAGTGCACTTGGCCCCCCCCCCCCCCCAATTCATCACCCCCTCATGAAGCGGCGCCCAAGCGACGGGAAGGGAGAAAGGGAAAGAGCAGCAAGCAGACGACGGCGAACGCGCAGGCAGGAGGCAAGGGCCAGCGGGACGAAGCAAGAGGGCGAGCAGGTGGGAGGGGACAACGGGGAGACATCGATTGGGCTTGAGAAATGCCGCAGAAAGAGAGGGTCCAGGGTTCCGGCCGTGAGTTTTCGTGATGTTTGCATGTTTCCGCAACGTCGGATCTGAAGGGCGTCCGCGGCGGCCCTCCGGCATGCCCTCTGGAGGCCACGGTCTCGCCCCATCGGGCGGGGCTGGGACCGGATGAATCCATCCAGGGCGTCTTGGAGCGTTCTCGCAGCGTTCCGGAGCGCTCTGCCACGGCGCCCGATGCATCCTCCGGAGCCGCCAGAATTTAGAGGCCCCGACGGATCCCAGTCCAGAGGAGGCGGATGCTGGTGGGGATGGTGACTGTAACGATCACGGTGACGGCGATTATGGTGATGGTGCTGCAGGTGGTGAATATGGCGACTTTGAGTACAATGGTGGTACGGATGAGAACGTTCGGGTGATGGGTGATGACTCTGATGACGACGATGGTCGGCGACGACGATGATGAGGATGATGCTGATGATAGAATTGCTGCTGCTGATGCGGATGTTTGTGATGATGCGGATGGTGATGTTATTGTTGTTGATGATGGCGATGATGAGGATGATGATGCTGATGATGATAATGCTGATGATGGCGATCACGGTGGCGACCATGATGCTTGTGACGATAGTGATGATGGCGATGCTGCTGCTACTGCTGCTGAAGCTGTCGACAGCACTGACGAGGATGCTGATGATGGGGAGGAAGAGGTTGGACGAGTCTGATACACGGAAAAAGAGAGGAGGTAGAGAAGGTAGAATGGGGGGTGTGAGGAAGAGGAGGGTGATGAGAAGGAGGAGGAAGAGGAGGAGGAGGAGAGTGAGGAAGAGGAGGAGGAGGAATTAGGGGAATAATAACGAGAAGGCGCATGATATGATGGTGCTTATATTGATGGCGATCATGCATATGCTGATGTGGAGGGTGAGTGCCTGAAGGAAGAGGAGGGCGAGGGGGTGGGGGAAGAGGCTGAAGAAAGAGACTGAGAAGGAGTTGTTCTGTGGGGAGGGATGAGTGTTGGAGTAGTTGGGGGAGGAGGAGGAGGAGGAGGAGGAGGAGGAGGAGGAGGAGGAGGAGGAGGAGGAGGGGGAGGAGGAGGAGGAGGAGGAGGATATATAACAATAGTAGTAATGCTACGAAGACTAATAGTAATAATGATATAAAACATAATGTTACGAATAAGTCTAATAATTTGAACGCACGACCCATGAAACATAAAAATGATCATACCAAGAAACATAACATTATAGACATACTCATAATAGTGGTAAGACTGCGAATGTTAATACTATTACTAATACCAATACGAATGAGAAGAGGAAGAGGAGGATTAGGAGGAATAATATTAATACTAATGATAGTAATGTTAAGAAACATAAGAGGAGATTCAGTATATGGTGCGGAGCAGCCGGCGTAGTCTGGAATTTCAAATACTAAACAGGGGCCCCAGAAGAATCGTGGCTGCTGTTGGCGGCCAGTCAGCGCCGATGGGCCAATACAACGGACGACGAGGAAGGGGGAGGAAGGCGACGACGACGAGGGGGAGGCCCACGACACCCAGCGCCCGCCTGCGGTGCCTGCCGCGCCTGGCCGCTGCGAGGGGCGCCATGCCCTGCGCAGGGCGCCCTGCCCTGGACGCGGGCGGGCGCGCTCGGTGTGAGCTGCCTGGCAGCAGCGCCCGGCCACGCGAGGTGCGCCAGAAGCGGGTCGAGCGCACGGGAGGGGCACGCCGGGCCCACGGCGACGTGAGACCGGCCTGCCACCATAGAGCGCTTCCATGGCGGTGATAGACCCCTCGAGGGGCAGGGGATCGCTCGATGTCGGCGCCCATCTTCTCCATCCAGAACGCCGGGCTCACGGTGGCGACTCGGGGATGACACCGGCCCGGGACACCTGCGATGAGGGAGGTATGAGGCGGACGTCAAAGACCAAGAGCCCTCCAGGCAAGCCCACTCAGGGAGCAACGCTGGCAATGCCGCTGGCCAGGCGATGCGCGAAGCGAGCGGGCACGCTCGGTGTAAGCTTCCCCACTTCTTTCCTGGCAGCGGCGCTGGCAAAACAATGGCTGTCGGAAGCGAGCGGGCGCGCTTGAAGTAAACTTGTTGGCGAGCTTCCTGGAGACAACCCTGACAGCGCGATGTGCGCCGCAAGCCAGTGGGCACGCTTTGAGAAAACTTCTTGGCAACACCGATGGTCACGCGATGTCCGCCAGACGCTGGCGAGTAAGCTCGGAGTGAGATTCTCGGGCTTGCGCCGTACCGCCGACCCCCTGGGGGGTGTAGTAGATGCCTGCCAGTGGGGGCCTCTTGTGGGCCTTTCGGGGGTCTGGTGGGCCTCCTGGGTCTGGGTTGCGGGTTTGACGCCGTTCGGATCGCTGATGGGGTCGCGTGGGAGGCGTGTCGGGAGCGTCACGGAGGCAGTTTTTGAACCTGTTGCGGCCTGAAGGCGGCGTCTGGGAGCTTTTTTAGGGCCCTTTTGGCGCACTCTGGGGGCCCCAGACGCTAGTGAGTACGCTCGGAGTGATATTCCCGGCAACAGCGCTGGCCACGCGATGTGCACAGGACGCGACCAGGCACGCACGGGGCACGCCAGGCTCACGGGAGGGACTCGGAGCGGCACCAGCTCATTGAACCTGCAGTGCTATGCCGCGAGTAAGAACCTTCTAGGCAAGCCTAGTTCTGGAATTATCTTCTATAGGCATCCGCAACATCCGCCGACCCACTGATGTGCTGTGTTTTGTTCGGGCGATCTCGCTCTGGGTGAGGGCCACGTTGGCGGTTGCCCAGTTTGTTTTGTGGAGCATGCTTTTTGGGGGTCTCGTTGGGCGTCGCGGGGCTGGTTGGATCGTTTGTGCTGGGCGTCGGTGTGACAAAGCGGCTTCAGCGTAAGCTGACGTGCGCGGCGTGCAGCATGGGATTCCCGCGACGGGGCCACATGATCAGCGCGCAGGCAACGGAATACTTGGCAAAGGGGAACGAAAGTAGTCCGCGCAGATTGCCAGGACCTCGGGCTCACGGCGTGCAGTTGGCAAGCGTGCGACTGTACGAGCATGTGCGGGAGGAGGCTCCCGAAATTCGTGCTTGCCAGAGGGACGAATTTTACACGTCCGCGAAGAATGGCACACTGAAGTGCCAGTAATGCGGGTAATGCCCGCGCGGGGTTCTCTTGGAGATGCATGTGCCGACGTCGTCGCGGGGGGCGAAGGCAAGCGCTCATCGGGGGGAGGGGGGAGAAGAGAAGGAAGAGTAGGCAGAGGAAAAAGCAGGCAATGACTGGGCTGCGGGTCAGGGTCCTCCTGGATGCATGTGACGTTTTTTTTAGGATGCCCCTCAGGGGCGTCTTGCAGAGCTCTTGCGTGGCATCTGGGGGGGTATAGGGTTCTCTTGGAGCATATCGGGGGTCTTTTTCGGAAGCTATTGGGATTCACGTGGGGCTTCCCCGGGACGCTTCGGGGCCTCTGGGGGGCATTTTGAGCCATCTTCGGGAGAAAGGCTCGAACTGCCAGTTCGTATTCCCCCTGTTGGGACCTCTTGAGCCCTCGTGCGGCTCTCTTGGGCTGTTTTTGAGGGCCCCTGGGGACGTTTGGGGGCCCTCTTGGGGGCCTCATGGGGTGTTGTCTCGGAATACTGTTGGAGGCCCCTTGGGCTGTTTTGGGCGCTATCAAGACGAACGAGAAGAGACTGGTAAAAATGTGCGTTTCCTCGAAGTTGCATGTGAGAATATTCGCCTCTTAGGGCCCTTTCGGCGGACCTCTGGGAGCATTCGTGGGCCGTCTCGAGGGTTTCGTGGGTCGTCGGAAGGCCATCTTCGATTATCGTGGAGATACCCTGGGCCGTGTCGACGCTCTCGTGGTGCTGTGTTTGGGCTCTCTCGGGTCGTCCCGGAGCCGTCCCGCAGGATTTTGAAGATCTTTGTTTACCGGGGGCTGTCTTCGGGCCGTCTTGGCTTCCCTGCAACTGCCAGGGGCCGCCCTGGAGCTTCAGATGAACTCCAGACGAGCCCAGCCACCCGGGGTGAGCCCAGTCTTGGGGCCTGGCCGGTGCCAGCGGCTGCTCGCGAACCTCGAGTGAGCCCGCCGCCTCCGGCCCGTTGGTAAGCGCTCCGCCGGCCCATCGGCTCCGCAGCCCCGCCGCAAGCGCCGGCGAGCGGGGGCTCCTGGGCGGAGGCCCGCGCACGGCCTCCTCGCGAGGCCGCGCAGGGCCGCCCACTGCGCCGCGCTCGGCCGCGCCTCGCAGGTCGCGCGCCGCCTGCGCCTGTGGCCGGTCTCCGTCAGCGCCACGGCCGTCACAGGCGGCCTCGCCCCCCACGGGGTGGCCCGCTTCGGGGGCCGTCCGCGCAGGGCGCCCGTGCAGCTGGGAGCGGACGCCTGGTGAGCTCGTCCTCCGGAGTCGGGCTGGGCTCGGCGGTCGTCTGCAGGACGCCCCCGTGCAAGCGGGCGCCCGCGTGTGCGCGGGGCGTCCATGCAGATGGGTGCTGAACGTGCGGGCCTGGAGTTGGAGGAGGAGGAGGAGGAGGAGGAGCAGGAGGAGGAGGAGGACTCACCAGGGGTTTGCCCGCCCTGGCCCGAGAGGGGGAATCGAAGTCAAAGGTTGGGTCCCTTTTGGGGGGGGCCGGGGGGGGGACCTATCTCACACGCCTGGAGGCCCACGATGGGTCGGCGGACTTTGGACCCCATCGATCCGCCCGTGCTCTCTCGCCTCGGCGCCAAAGGGAGGCTCACGCTCGAGCGTTTCGGGGTTGCTCCGAAACCTGCACCCCCAGTAACAAGGCTCTCGCTCGGTGCATCAACGTGCTCAGGAGTGGAGCTTGCGCTTCGGCACCAGCTGTCGCGGGCTCCCATGTGTTGAACCGTCGTATCACTTTGGCCCTGGGAGCTTTTCCAGAGGCTCTGGGTTCTCCCAGAGGCGCTGAGGTGTCGCCCAAGAGCTCTGAGGCCTCTCCGAGAGGCTCTGAGGCCTGTCGCGACGGCTCCAGGGCGCTTCCCAGAAGCACAGGAGCTTCCGTCACAGGCTCTGAAGCCTCTCCTAGAACGGGGCCTCTCCCAGAGACCCTGAAGCTTCTCCAAGAGGTCCTGTCCTCTCTTACTGCGGTCTCAGGCTCCTTCCGCTTGGTGGTGCAGAGCCGTGGCGGGGTGGTCGTGACGGCGATGTGTCGTCCGAGCTGAGGATGGTAAGGTGACTCGGAAGAGGTGTTGGCATGGCCTCGTGTGGGTATCTTCATAAGGGACTGTTGTGTCCTCGATGCATAAACCATGATCCTCCCATGTCATGATAGGCTCGTAAAGCATACAGAAGGGTTGTGCATTCTGGAGGAGGTAAACATTGCTGCTGTCGTGTTTTTGATGATGATGATGATGATGATGATGATGATGATGATGATGATGATGATGATGATGATGATGAGGATGATGAGGATGATGAGGATGATGAGGATGATGAGGATGATGAGGATGATGATGATGATGATGAGGAGGAGGAGGAGGAGGATGAGGACGATCGGGTGCGAGGCTCGGATCTCGCGCTGCGCCAGTCGAAGGAGCGACACGAGCGAGGGAGGTGAGCCAGCGATCCAGGAAGTCTCTCACGGCCAGGGCGTCCTGTGCGCGCCTCTGGAACTGAATGTGTGATTTGCAAGGGCCTGCGGGGGCGCGCGGGCCGATGGCCCCAGCTCAGTGAGGAGGCGGCCCAGCGACCTATGAAAACCCTCGGACCCTGGGCGTCTTCCACGCGCTTTGGCGTTCGAAGGCGATTGTGGGTACTCCAAACATGAATCGCCATACGAAGATGGTATCGGTGACCGAGAGACGCTTCGCCAGCTGCGAACAAGCCAGTGCGTGCATCGCCGCCCACCGTCACCGGCCTGTGCGCTGGGATGGGCACACTCGAGAATGACGATAATGACCAGCGCGATGCCGATGACGATGGCGATGACGACAACGATGGTGATGACGATGATGATGGTGATAACGGCGACGATGGCGATGATGGTGCCGATGACGATGACGATGCCAGTGACGAAGACGATGACGGACGACCGACGACGACGACGACCGACGACCGACGACTGGTGACGACGACGACGACTACCGACGATGACGACGACCACCGACGACAATGACGACCGCGACAACAACGAGCGCGACGACGACAACGACTACCGCAACGACGGCCGCAGCGGCAGCGCTTGTGGCATCGGCGGCCGCCGCGGCAAGCGGCGGCAAGCGGCGGCAAGCGGCGGCCGCGCTGGCGAGGCGCTGTGCCGGAGCAGGCGCCGAAGAGGGCGGAGGCGCCGCCCTTCGACGAGGAGGCCGACGGGGAGTGCGCCGTGCAGCTGCGCGGCCTGCCGTACCGGGCAACCGTCGAGGACGCCGTCGTCGTCGCCGCTGTCGGTGGCCCCTCGGAGGCTCTCGGAGGCCCCGCGGAGGCCTGGCGGCGGCCTTCGGAGGCTTTCTCGGAGACCCTCGAGGGCTTCTGGAGGCCGTCGGAGGCTTTCAGAGGCCTTCGCAGGTTCTCGGCGGGCTTAGGGTCGTCGTCGTCGTCGTCGTCGTCGTCGCCGTCGCCGTCGCCGTCGCCGTCGCCGTCGCCGTCGCCGTCGCCGTCGCCGTCGCCGTCGCCGTCGTCGTCGTCGTCGTCGTCGTCGTCGTCGTCGTCGTCGTCGTCGTCGTCGTCGTCTCGTCGTGGTCGTCGTCGTCGTCGCTGTCGTTGCCGTCGCGTAGTCGTGGCGGCCGCCAGCTTCGATGCTTCGAGGAGGCTGCGGAGCGATTGGATTTCGCATCTGATCTAGCTCGAAGGACTGACGGCGCTGCACTTGGACGGCACCACAAGATTATTGTTAGCATGTTGTCGGCACGGACGCCGAGGTGGGGAGGGAGGGGAGGGAGGGGAGGGAGGGAGGGAGGGAGGGAGGTAGGGGAGTGCAGGGGAGGGAGGGAGCCCCACCGACACCGTCACTCGTCGCCTGCGCAAGGGGTTCACGGGCCGTCGGCCCCGCGCCCCAGCTCCAGGACGTCAGGAGCTTCCTGGGCGAGTTCGCCGCGTCCCTGGTGCCGGAGACTTTGTGTTTTGAAAAGGGGGGTGCGGGTATCCTCCTCCTCTTCCTCCTCCTCCTCCTCCCAGATCTTCGATCCTCGATCTTTCTTCCCCGCGTCATCGTCATCATCATCATCATCATCATCATCATCATCATCATCATCATCATCATCATCATCATCATCATCATCAGCAGCAGCAGCAGCAGCAGCAGCAGCAGCAGCAGCAGCAGCAACAGCATTATCATCATCGTCATCATCATCACCACCATCATCTTCAGCATCGTCATCATCATCGTCATCATCATCATCACCACCATCACCATCCTTCACTTCCTCCTCCTCCTTCCCCCTCTCCACCCCCCTTGTCCTACTCGTCCTGCTCGTTCTCCTCCTCATCCTCCTTCTCCTTCCTCCTCGTCTTCCTCGTCCCTTCCTCGCCCTACTCCATTCCTTTTTGTTGATAGCTCCTCCCTGTCGCATCCCGAGGCGTGTCGGTAGGGCGGTCCGGGCGTTTCGCCTGAGACCTCATCTTTTATGATCCTCGAGCTGAACATTTGCCAGAGTTTCACGGATGGAGGGCGGGCCGGGGATCTCGCTTCAGCGCCGCGCACATTCGTTTCAGACAAGCGCATTTTTCCCGCGGACGATGGGCGGGTGGTTTTCAGAAGGTGGCTCTCGCTCTGGCGCCGCGTGCGCTCGTGGTACATGCCTGCAATAATTTCGTGGACGGAGAGGGAGCCATGTTTGACATGTGCTTCTGGCCCTGGCGCCGCGCACACACACATGTTAACAGCAAGACAAGAGTTTCATGGATGCAGGGCGGGTGGTTTTCAACGTGTGGTTCTCGCCTCAGCACCGAGCGCATTCGCTTTAGAAGCGCGAGGGTTTCAGGGATGGAGGGCGGGCCGTTTTCAAAATGTGGCTCTCGCCTTCGCGCTGCATGCATTCGTTCTAAGAGTGTGCAGCACTTTTGAGGACTTACATGGTTAACGCCAGGGAAATAGTATTTGGCACGGTGTCGGATCGTCAGGGCGCAACAGTTACGTTCATTCGCGCGCGATTCAGGAGCCAGGAATGGTACTCTGGCAAATATCAGGATTGTCAAGCCGCAACAGTAACGGGGATTCGCGGCGATGACGTCCCAGGGATGGTGGTCTGGCACATTTCTGGATTTCCAAACGGTTGTCTTCCAACGGGGCATGCCCTTCAGTGAAAAGGAATCATGTGTAGGGGCCTGGGAAGATGGAACTTGAAGGGAGGGTTTTATTGCAATGCCGTTGATGAATTTTGAGTTTACACAGGTCGTCGTCGTCGTCGTCCTCCTCCTCCTCCTCCTCCTCCTCCTCCCCTATCTCATCATCATACACTTGTGCGGCCAGAAGGTGCACACCGATGCGGAACTTTTTCCCTTTTCCACCACTCACATCGTGTCGTTGCGCTTTGTCTTGTTGCCCTGAATCTCTTTGGAACACTTCGCTCCTGAGCGCTGCCGATGCTGGTGCTTGCTCCTCTTCTGCTCCCTCTTCCGTGCATCCTCAGAGGGAAACTTGCCCTGCGGCTCTCTCGCCGCCGCGCCCTCGGCCCTCTGGCCGCGGCGCCCGCCTCGTCGCGTCCGACGCGGACGCCTCCTCAGGCGCGCCGCGCGCCCTGCCGCCGCCTGCTGCTGCGGCTGCCTCTTGCCGCCGTTCGGTTGGGACCCGCGCCCCCTCCCTACGCTCGTCTCCTCCTCCTCCTCCTCCTCCTCCTCCTCGTCCTCCTCTTCCTCCTCCACTGTAATCGGCGGAGGCACTCCTTCTTCTCCTCTCTTGCTCCGTCCTTGCTCCTCCGTTTCGCCTGTGGAGGCTCGCCTCGAGAGATCCAGCTGCCTCTTCGAACGCCCGGCGCCCACGCCAACACAACAACAACTCCTCCTCCCCGAGGTGCCAAATACTCCTTGCCAATCGAGAGCGGGCGATCTCTTGCACCACGAGATGCCCGCATCCCCACTCGGGACACCCTTTGCCTCAGCGACTCTCAGACCGCATCGTCTCCCGCAGCGTGTCCCCATCTGACTGTTGGGGACCTCGCTGCTTGCATGCACCGAGCTCCGCGGAGTCCTCGGAACTGCCCAGCTCTGCCCCCTCTGCCGGGGGGGCGCCCGTCGCTCGACCGCCTCTTCCCTCGCTCGGACAACGCAGCATCAGGACGTACGCGCGCCGCCGATGTCGGCGGGCGCGCTGAGGCCAGCCTGCCCCCCCTCCCAGGGTCCCGGCGCGGCGGCGCGGGGGCCCGAGGCCAGAAAGGCCTTCCCCTCCTCTTCCTCCTCCTCCTCCTCCTCCTCCTCCCCCTCTTCTTCCTCCTCCTCCCACTCCTCCTCCTCCTCCTCCTCCTCCTCCTCCTCCCCCTCCTCCTTCTCCTTCTCCTCCTCCTCCTGCTCCTCCTCCTATAGAGACCAGTAGAGACCAGTTCAGATGAGTCATACCACGCACAACACATCACTCGGGCACAGGCCCATATTAAGGGGACTGGGGGATCACCCCAGCCGCGAACTGCTTGCAACGGCCCAGCACGCTATCATTAATAGGTATGGTCCCGTGCAACAAGCAAGGAGACATCGGCAGCTTACCGTTCAAGAGCTGTGTAAGCCCGAACCCATAACCCAGGACACGTGCAGGCGATGTCCGAAAGTGTCGGGAGCCCTCAGGACACTCAACAGGGACAGGGCCAGGGCACGGCAGGGGGTCTTAGTCAGTGCGGATGCCTGTCTTAAACAGCAGGAGCACCTCCAGTGGTCAGAATGCCAGCGAGGGGCATGTGGGCTCGAGGGGGACCTGCAAACACGGGGCCTCACAAATCCCTTGCTGCCATCAAACATCTCGGAAGTGGGTGGCCACAGGGGCAGGATTTTGCCCATTCCCAAAAGCAGGACCTCGTACAACTTCAAGACAGCATCAATCTGTTCGACTGTCAACGGATCGAAATCGTGCCTGCGGGCGCCTTGGCCCGCCAGCCAGTCCGCGGCCTTTTGCCTCGAATGTCGAGGAGGTCGGCGTCGTTCGACGCATCACCTTCCTCACGGTGGGCCTCCACCTTGTGGAAGCTCACCCAGCTGGCAAGATCAATATCCTTGGGCGACTTGCTTCCAGAAATGTCCGAAGTCATTCTTCGGGCCCAGGGCAAACGATGGAGACACCTGGGCCCTCAAGAGAGCCTTGAAATCCACACACTGGGGCCTCATAGCCCCTGAAAGCTGTTTAATGTGGGCATGCGCTTGCATGACTGCTATGTGCTCGCCGACTGCCGAGCTCTGATCCAGGACAGCAGGAACAGCACCATATCTTCCTTTGACCAGATCTCCTGCCTCAGAGACGTGCGCCGCCCCACACCCAGCCCTCGCCAAGTACTCACCTGTCGGCCTGATGCAGGAGCCGTCTTCATACAGCCTATCCTCGGGATCGAATTCGAATGGGTCAACCTGGGCGCCATCCCTGATGTAGCACATGGCAAAGGTGTATCACGGGAGGGGCACTGCAATTCGAGCCAACCAGCCCCTGGAGAACAGAAGACTGTAATCACCTGCTGTGAGGGCTTGCTGCATAATCTCCTCGGTGAAGATCTCTGCTCTCTCAGCACTGGCAAACCTACATTCGAAACACGGGTGGAAGACCGTGTCCACCTTCCCACAACCGTCACACTGTACCACCACTTTCTGAGGTTGTCAGCCGTGGGAACACGCCCTCCAAACATATGTCTGCAGCAGTGCACTTGGTTGTGGGTCATATCATGCTTGCTGTTTAAAGTCTTCAAACTGAGTTCCCACCAGAGTCCCTGGTTCAGGAAAGCCTCTGAATCGGGGTTGGGGTGGGTTTCGCAAAAAGTTCTAGCTACTCTCTGTATTCCGGCATCCTTGTATTGCATAACAAGCTGTTTAGCAATGAGTGCGGGGGCAAGAGTGGTGGTTTCCAGCAAGTGGCCCTCAAATCCCGAAAACCCGAAGGGCCCTCCAAGGACCAACCAACCTCGCGGCACCAAAGGAGAAGGTCGCTTATTGGGCCCCGACTCTCTTTGAACCAGTATTTCTTGTTATACTTTGGGTTGAACCTGGCCTGTGCTGCCCTGTACAGCTTGGTCAGGCGCTCGATTCCCAATACATCTGCATGCTGATGCTGGAGGACACTTCTCGGTGCAGAAGACATCCACCATTCAGCACAATACCTCTCGATGGTCGCCGCGGCCACGTACACAGGGTCCTCGATGTTGGACAATGCCCAGCCCAACTCCATATTCATACCACGAAGGCTCTGCCCACATGACTTCGATACCTGTGATCTGATGCGAAATATCTGAGCAGGGCTGAAAGCGTTGACCTCCTCTCCGTACACCACCGTGGGGGCTGCATTGGTCACCGTAAGGCGTGCCTTGTGTCCTTTACCACTGAACTTCATGCTTGCAATCTTTTTCCTTTTTGCCATCATCTTCCTCCATCTTTGCGCACGCGTACTGTGGGCTTTTGGATGGGCCTTGTGTTTACCTCCAGTGAAGCCAACGCCGAGGTTTCTGATCGCATATTCTCCTGGGCCTCCCATGATACCAAGCGCACTTCTCGCCAACGTCATCATGGCACCGCTCGAAGTCGTCATGTTGAGTTTGTGCATGGCCAGTGGCAAGCCCAACTCCTTCTGCAATCGATGTCCAACTCGATGTACATGGTCTTTCATCTCTTTCAGCACTTCCACTATGACAGGGCCCCATTGATGTTGGGACAGGTCGTCTATATCTAGTGATAACAACGATGGTTCACACGGCCTCTTTGATACTTCGTCATCTATCATGGGCAGCAATGCCAGCTTCGCCTCATACGTGGCTCTTGTGCTGCCCGCTACAATGCTACGTGCAGGGAAGACTGGGTCTATGAGAATCTGATCGTACTTCAGCAACCTGTGCCATGCATAAGTAGACATCGAGAGCTGCACCACTGCAATGGGGAAGTCTGCCCAAGTAGCATTTTTGATAATGAGGTCCCACGGTACATGTTCGTAGAACTGCAACAGATCCCAAATCATTGATCTGTAGTGCTGGTTCGTGTTTACACTACCTTCTGCCAGAACTGATTGACGCCATACAGTGTCCCCTGGTCCTCTGTGCTGCCCCATGGAGTACGCTGAGCCAAGTCCTTTCTTAACTTCACGCTGTGTCATCCTGTGTTTGCCAAACCGTCCACTGATTCGCACAGGGGCAGGGCAGAAACTTAGAGGCCTGCGGCCTCGAGTAGGCTTGTGGGTCAGCACGACAACGAGGCGTTGTATGGCTCGCGGAGCAGCACCCACCATTTCCATGATAAGTAAAATCTTACCGAAGACAGTGATAGCATCGTTGTCGAGCAACGCGCAGTGTCGACTGGCGTGGGTAACTTCATAACAGCAGATGTGCAGGTGCTCCTCCTCTTCCACCCCCTCCGCCTCCTCCTCCTCCTTCTCCTCCTCCTCCTTCTCCTGCGGCTCAACTCCTCCTCCTCCTCTCCTCCTCCTCCTCCTCCCTCCTCCCTCCTCTCCTCCTCCTCTCCTCCCCCTCTTCCTCCCCCTCCTCCTCCTCCTCCTCCTCCTCCTCCTCCTCCTCCTCCTCCTCCTCCTAGGAGAACGCCGTCCACCTCGTGCTCAACCGCGACGGCAGGCCGTCGGGCTTCGCCCGGGTGCACTTCGCCTCTCCGGAGGCCGCCCGGCTGTGCCGCGACGGCACGCACCTGCGGTGCATGGAGGAGCAGCCCCCTCGGCGGCCCTCTGGCGTCCTCGTAGCGGCCCCTCGGCGGCCCCATCGGCGGCCCCATCGGCCGCCGTTCGGCGGCCCCTCGACGGCCTTGGGCGCTCCCTCGGCGGCCCCTCGGCGGCTTGAGCAGCGGCGAGGAGGGCAGCGTCCTTCGTCGTCGGCGGCGTCGTCATTTTTGCTGTCGTTCTCGTCGTCGTCGTCGTCGTCGTCGTCGTCGTCGTCGTCGTCGTCGTCGTGGAACCCTCTTGCCTTTTATGAGTGCTTCTCTGGAGTCTCTGGGCCCGTCTTCTTCTCGCTCGATCGGGCCCTCCAGGGGCGGAGGAGGATGATGATGATGATGATGATGATGATGATGAGGAGGAGGAGGAGGAGGAGGAGGAGGAGGCGGCGCGGCGCGGCGAGCAACGCGCCCTCGTCGTAGGTCTTGAAGTCTGTGGGCCCCGTCGAAGAATGACCCCCCCAGCCTTCTCAGAAGGGCGCCCCCCGCTGCACCAGCCCCTGTCGCCTGTCGCACGCCGTCAAGGTTTGTCACCGTCACGCTTGGCAGGTTTTAGCAGTTCCCTTCGAGTCGCCAGAAATCTCGGCGGCGAGCCCTGGGGGAAGTGAGAGGGGGCGGGCCTTCTCAGAAGGCGGTGGGGCTTCTTAGAAACCCTCCCGCCTTCTGAGAAGTCCTCTCTGTCTTCGGAGAAGGCTTAACAAGCTTCTCAGAAGGCTGGGGCCTTCCAAGCCTTCTGAGAAGGCCCGTCCCCTCTGTCTTCCCCACTGAGCTCGGCGTCAAAGAGATCGGGAGGACTGGACTGGGAACGGTAAGAGTGGGGACGAACACCGACAGCAGTCCCTGCCCGCCTTGAGGAGGACTCGCTGTCGGTGTCGCCGCTGTCGTTGTCCGCTTGGTACGAGTGTCGCCTGCCCAGCATCGACCGCTGTCGGCCTTGGACCATCTGTACTTGATGCTCGGCCTCGTCTCCGCTCTTTCCGTATCGCTGCCGGGCGTGCCCCAGAAGAGGCCTCTCGTCGCCTAGGCGTAAGGGTGACATCTCGCCAGAGTGACCTCCAGTGCGGGTCCAACGGGGTCCGATCGCGGAGCGCGAAGCGGTAGCAGCAGCTCGCGCGCCCTGGAGTGGCCACCCCGCGCCCCCCCAGAGGAGGAGGAGGAGGAGGAGGAGGAGGAGGAGGAGGAGGAGGAGGAGGAGGAGGAGGAGGAGGAGGAGGAGGAGGAGGAGGTTGAGCCGCAGGAGGAGGAAGAGGAGGAGGAGGAGGAGGAGGAGGAGGAGGAGCCGCAGGAGGAGGAGGAGGAGGAGGGGGAGGAGGTTGAGCCGCGCACCAGAGGTCGCTCTTGCGCAGGGTCGCTCCGGCATGCAGCCCCTCTCGGGGAGCGGGTGCGCCTCTGGCGGCGGGCGGAGAGGACCGCTACGTCGAGGTGTTCCTGTACAGCGAGCGGCCCAGCAGAGGGCGGAAGGCCCGGAACGAGGACGGCCGCCAGGCTGGCAGGTCCCCAGACATGGAGCGCCTCGAGAAAATCGAGACGGAGGTTTTTCGTCGTTTTCGGCCTCTCGGGGCCCTCGCCAGGCCTCGGGACCGTCGACAGAACGACTCGGGATGAAGAGCCGGTCCGAGGGAAGTGGTCGGGAGGTCTGGGGCCCATGTCTCGAAAAAGTTGAGACGTCGGATGTCTGGGTCTGGTGGCGTCCAAGAGGAGTTTGATGACTGGGGGGTGGGCAGGGCAGATAGATGGCCGGGGTCATGGGATCTCCCCGGGCTTCATGGCCCCCTCTTTTCATTTCAATGCCTCCCCTGGTCCCCCCCCCTCTCGTACGCGCACATGCCTCTGGCCTTGACTTGCGACCCCCCCCCTTTTGGCCGCCCCTCTCTTGGACGCCCCCGAGGGGGGGATTGAAGTTTCAGAAGGTTTTCGGATCGTTTTTTCCCAGCCATCCTGTGGTCTTGGGTCCTCACGAAACAGCGCTCCGCGTCCCACCTTTTTTCTCCCCCTCTTCCTCCCCCTCTTTCCTCCTCCCGTCCATGCCTGTGCCCTCCGCATGTCTGTGTTTCGGTGCACCCATAGGGAGCTCCACCGAAGGCCCCAGCGGCAGGGTCCAGATGGCGCCGCTCCATTTTGGCGCACCCCTCACGCAGCTCGTGCCGAAGGCCCCAGCGACAGGGTCCATATGCCGGCGCCGCCGCATTGTGGCGCACCCCTTACACGGTTCGTGGCCCCGTAGGGAGCTCAACCGAAAGTCCCAGCGGCAGAGTCTACACAGCGGCGCCGCTTCATTTTGGCGCACCCTTTCGCACGGTTCGTGTCCCCATAGGGAGCTCCACCGAAGGCCCCAGCGGCAGGGTCCACATGGCGGCGCCGCCCCATTGTGGCGCACCCCCTCACACGTTTCGTTGCTCCACAGAAGGCCCCAGTGGCAGGGTCCACATGGCGGCGCCGCGCCATTTTGGCGCACTCCTCACATGTTTCGTGGCCCCATGGAGCTCCACCGAAGGCCCCAGTGGCAGGGTCCACATGGCGGCGCCGCCCCATTTTGGCGCACCCCTCACACGGTTCGTGGCCCCACAGGGAGCTCCACCGAAGGCCCCAGTGGCAGGGTCCACCTTTCGGTGCCACTTCATTTTGGCGCACCCTTCAAACGTTTCGTGGCCTCATAGGGAGCTCCACCGAAGGCCCCAGCGGCAGGGTCCACATGGCGGCGCCGCTCCATTTTGGCGCACCTCTTACACGGTTCGTGTTCGCACAGGGAGTTCCACCGAAGGCCCCAGCGGCAGGGTCCACATGGCGTGGCCGCCCCATTTTGGCGCACCCCTTCACACGGTTCGTGGCCCCATAGGGAGCTCCACCGAAGGCTCCAGTGGCAGGGTCCACATGGCGGCGCCGCGGCATTTTGGCGCACCCTTTCACACGTTTCGTTGCCTCACATGAAGCTCAACCAAAGGCCCCAGCAGCAGGGTCCAGATGGCGGTGCCACCTCATTTTGGCGCACTCCTCACATGTTTCGTGGCCCCATGGATCTCCACCGAAGGCCCCAGTGGCAGGGTCCACATGGCGGCGCCGCCGCATTTTGGCGCACCCCTCACGCGGTTCGTGGCGCCATAGGGAGTTCCACCGAAGGCCCCAGCCACAGGGTCCACATGGCGCCGCCGCCCCATTTTGGCGCACCCTTTACACGGTTCGTGGCCCCATAGGGAGGTCCACCGAAGGCCGTCGTGGCAGGGTCCACATGGCGCCACCGCCCCATGTTGACGCACCCCCTCACACGGTTCGTGGCCCCATAGGGAGTTCCACCGGAGTGCCCCCAAAGGGGCGACATCACATATTTTTCCCAAGTGTTTGAAGGATTTGGGCGGTCTCGGCTTGTCGGCTTCCCGACGCTGCAAGAGGCCCCCGTGGCAGGGTCCACATGGCGGCGCCGCCTCATTTGGGTACACCCCTCACACGTTTCGTGGCCCCATGGAGCTCCACCGAAGGCCCCAGTGGCAGGGTCCAAATGGCGGCGCCGCCCCATTTTGGCGCATCCCTCACACGGTCCGTTGCCCCATAGGGAGTTCCACCGAAGGCCCCAGTGGCAGGATCCACATGGCGGCGCCGCGCCATTTTGGCGCACCCCTCACACGGTTCGAGGCACCTCAGGGAGCTCCACCGAAGGCTCCAGTGGCAGGGTCCACATGGTGACGCCGCCCCATTTTGGCGCACCCCTTACACGGTTCGTGGCCCCACAGGGAGCTCCACCGACGGCTCCAGTGGCAGGGTCCACATGGCGGCGCCGCCCCATTTTGGCGCACCCCTCACACCGTTCGTGGCCCCATAAGGAGCTCCACGGAAGGCCCCAGTGGCGGCGTTCGCACGGCGCCGCCGCCCCATTTTGGTACACCTTTGGCACGGTTCGTGAAAGCGGCGCCACAGCAAGGAATTCACACATGCACATGTTTTTGTCCTTCGCCAGGATATTTTTTTTTTTGGGTGGTGGTGGTGGTGGTGGGTGGGGGTGGGACGTCCGCAGTTCTTCGAGCCGTGAATTATCTGAACGGAAGGCTTAAACTAATTCTCAGCCTCTGGGGGTCCCTACTGGGCCGTAGAGCCGTCAACGAAAAAGACAAGGAGGAGGAGGAGGAGGAGGAGGAGGAGGAGGAGGAGGAGGAGGAGGAGGAGGAGAGCCCGTTTCCCAAGCACTTGCTGGGTCCGGGCCACTGCTGGCGCGCGCGCGCCCTCCCGCCCCCCCGCCCACGTTTTGGCTCACATCATGGTTTCCGCCTCTCGCTTGCTTAGGATATTTGAGCAATTCGCTGCTGGAAGGTAGTGTCGGGTCTGGCTCAACTCGTACACGGATAAGGTGACTGCCCATCTCGTGCTGCTCCCGCACTTCGATCCGTTCATGCTGAACTCCTTCGCCGCCGCCGTTATCGACATGCTGCGTCTCTCCCTCGTAGAGGCGTGCGTCGTGGATCACGGGCACGGCAACTCCTTCGGCGAGGTGCATGTCTCCTTCTCCATGCGGCTGATCCGAGATAGTGCTGGTGCCGAACATATTGGAAGTGCTGGCGCCGATCTTCGTGGAGGGGCTGGTCCAGGTCTTCGTGGAGGAGCCCGTGCTGCTCATCGTCATTCCGATCGTCGTGGAGGTGCCGATCGTGGTGCCGATCCTTTTCGTCAAGGTGCTGGAGCTGATTATCGTGGAGGCGCCGATCTTCGTGGAGCGGATGCTACTGGTCACCGTGGAGGGGCCGACGCCGATCATCGAGGAGGTGCTGGTGCAGATCATCTGGGAGGCGCTGGTGCCGATTCTCGTGGAGGTGCTTAGCCTCGCGGAGGTGCTGGTGCCGTTCATCGTGAAGATGCGGGTGCCGATCATCGGGGAGGTGGTGGTGCCGCCCCTCACGGAGGTGTTGGCGCCGTGCGCCCAGCTGCTGCCACGACGTCTGCGGAGTGTTTGACTCCAGAGGCGGAGTGTTTGACTCCAGAGGCTGTGCGGAAACGAATCGCCGCAGTTGCTCTGACGGAGGAAGCTGCGCACGAGGAGGAGAACTACGCTGCCAGGCTCATCCAGTGGGCCGAGGGAAAAGTCATGATGCTGTCTGATTTTGCCGCTTTTGCACTTCTAGACATCCTGGGCGCGGTGTCAGCCAACAGTTTCGAGGAGGCGCTGGTGCGATACAGGCTGCTGGAGTCCGAAGCCATCGCCGTTCTGGCCGATGCCAGGGCTGCTTCCCTGAGGGAGTTGGCAGAGTCAGAGAGCCCGCTCATTCACAGCCTCGCGCCGCTTGTAGATGTTGCGCAGCAGAACCGGCTCAAGGCCGCCCAGAGTGCCTTGGTCCGGTCACGGTTGACTTCGCGACCATGGACTGTGATGGCCAAGCAGTGTGTACCTCGAAAGGGATTCGAGATTATTGGAAGCCCATCGAATGGGATGTGAGTTGAGCCGGGCGTGCAGCAGCGTAGTTGCCTCTGTCTGACGTGCTGACGTCTAGAGATTCCGAGATGCTGGGCGCGGCTCGAATTGCTGGTGGTCCTGGGGGCTGGGTTTCCGCGGCTGGGCCTTTGGGGGCCCTTTGTCCTGGGGTCGTCGGGTTCCTGCCTGCGCTCCCCCCCTGCGGCCTCCCTCTCTTCCTGCTCTTTCTTTCTTCCTCCTTGTTTCTCCCCTCTTGGGGTGGTGCGTTGGCGGGTTCCTGTTCTGGTTCTGGGGTCTCTGGGGTGTTTCTTGGTTTCCTCGTCGCCTGTGTTTCCATCCTGTTCTTCCTCGCCCTTATCCCTGCGTAGGCGTCGACCCCCTTGCCTCAGGAACGAACGAACGAACTTACGAGGAGGAGGAGGAGGGGGAGGAGAAGGATATTGCTTCGAGGAGGAGGAGGAGACGGGTTGGAAGAGGTCGCAGAAACCAGAGTGGACCCAGGATGCAGCAATCGTGGTGCAATGCCATCCCAAGTTCTCTTTTCGCAAGTCACTACACATACTTCAGCTCACATCGGGAGGCGCTCATATCAAAAACGGTCGCCCCATTGATCTGCCATTCAGTCGAAATCGCAGGGTATTCTTCCAGCTGTAAGGAATGTGAACATGCATTATCCTAACGTTCAAACGTAGTGTCCAGCGAGAGCGCTGGCTTGAAACGGAGCAGCCCTTCATCGGTAAAGTTATAGGTTTCGCAAGTTTGCACTTCCGCTCATCGTTTTAAGGGAATATCAAGCGGGATCGCATTTTCAAATGGAGCCGCCCTCGACACGTGTGGTTGTTGCGCATGCTAGAACTTCTGACCATAGGCTCAAAAACGACAACCCCATTTTGAAAAGGAACCGCCCTCCATCTTTGTAATTGCTGGAAGCTTTCCAGGCGAATGTGCGTGACCATCAAGCGAATGCGGCCTTTTGAAGGCCACCTGCCTTCCATCCTTGTAGCTGCTGGACACCGTCTGAAACGAACGTGTGCGGCGCTCGGGCGAGAGCTCCACTTTGAAGATTACCCAACCCCTTATCCTTGTACAGTAGTCATTGGTCGCTTTTAAGACGAGCGTGCGCTGTGTTGAGGTGAAAGCCATATTTTGAAAGGCTGTTCCCTCCACCAGTGGAAGTGTTACGGCAGGTTCGCGTCCTGTCGACCAACGGCGACCCCAGCGCGGGCGTGTAAGGTTGAACGCTGCCTGTGGCCCAGAATCGGCTCATCTTTGAACGATCCGGCGTTCACCGAGCAGCCGACCGTTCAAGTTTGAGCGTTCCCCGCGGTGCCAGGAACCAGCGCCAGGATCGACAGGACGCGAACCTGCCGTAGACACCTCAAGCTTCAGGTTCACATGCGGTAAGGAAGGCTCACGCGAAGTGCCCAGCCCGCCGTGCCGACACGTTTGGCGGTGCAACCAAGGGAGGGGAGCTGTTTCGCTGGAAGAGGTATGGGAGATATTGAGAGGAGGAAGAGGGAGAACAACGAGGAGGAGGATAATGAGGAGGAGGGATATATAGAGAGGAGGAAGCGGGAGGAGGAGAACGACGAGGAGGAGGAGGAGAGGATGGAGCGGCGAGGAGGGATGGGGAACAGGAGCGAAGAGGGAGAAGGATAATGAGGAGTAGGGGGAGGAGGGGAGGTCCCAGCTGGGAGGAGGGATATATATATATATATATATATATATATATTATATATATATATATATAGATATAGATATAGATATAGATATATATGAGCAGGGGTGGCGAGTGACGATGATGGTAGCAATGGTAGCGATAACGGAAACGAAGAGATTGCGGCAGTGATAATGGTAATGATGATTATTGTTGTGATGCTGAGGATGCTTACGACGACGACGACGCCGACGACGCCGACGACGACGACGATGATGATGATGACGTTGGTGGTGCTGATGATGATGGTGGTGATGGTGGTGGCGATGATTCTGATGCTGACGATGATGACGATGATGACGATGATGTTGCTGATGGTGATGCTGCTGACGATGCTGATCATGACTGTGGCGATGATGGGGCAACGGTGATGTTAATGGCTCTGTTTATGATGACGATCAGGAGGGGAAGGATGGAAAGGATGCTGAGGTGGAGAAGGGTAAGGATAATTACGGTGATGACGATTGGGATCAATATCATGATGAATGGTGTTTGGCGATCATGGTATTGATATTGCTGGTGATGGTGATGATGACGATGATGATGTTGATAACGGCAATGATGATGTTGATTATGATGCTGATGTCAATGATGCTGATTTTGCGGCTAATGATGGCCATGCTGATGATGACAGTGATTATGATTATTATTGCGATGATGACGACGACGACGGTGATGATGATGATGATGATGATGATGACGAGGGTGATGTCGATGACAATGATGACGCTGCTGCTGATTATGATGACGATGCCGATAACGGTGATGATGATGCTCATGCTGCTGCTACTGACGATGCTGATACTGACGACGACGATGATGCTGATGATGCTGATAATGATGAAGATGATGATGATGATGATGATGATGATGAGGCTGATGATGGTAGTACAATTGTGATATTGATGATAATGACGATGATGATAATCAGGATTCTGATAATGATGGTGATGATAATGATGGTGATGATGATGATGATGACGACGACGGTTACGATGACGACGATGATGGTGGTGATGCTGATGGCGATGATGATGATGATCATGATTCTGATGTTGATGCTGATGCTGATGATGATGCTGCTGCTGCTGATGATGATGATGATGAGGACGATGATAGCGACGATGATGATGCTGATGATGATTGTTTTGATGACGATGGTGATGCTGATGATGCTGATGACGATCATGCTCATAATGATGATGATGGTGATGATGATGCTGATGTTGCTGATAAGGCTGCTGCTGATGATGATTACGATGCTGATGATTCGGAAGGTTTAGATGCTGATGCTGCTGACGATGCTGCTACTGCTTTTGATGATGCTGATGATGATGTTATTGAGTAGGACGATGATGATGCCGATGATGAAGATGCTGATGGTAATGGTGGTGATGACGATGATGCTGAATGGTGATGCTGACAGTATTGATGATACTGTTGCTGATGATGCTTCTGATCATGATGGTGATGACGCCGACGACGATGGTGACGATGATGATCCTGATAACGATATTGCTGCTGATGATGAGTATGATGCTGATGCTGATGCTGATGATGCTGACGATGCTGCTGATGATGGCTGATCATGCTGCTGCTGATGATGATGATGCTGATGATGCTGATGCTGATGACGCTGACGATGATGGCGACGATGATGATGCTGATGACTATGATGGTGATTGTGTTGATGATGATGCTGATGCTGATGATGCTTATGCTGATGCTGGTGATGATGCGGCTGGTGATGATGCTGATGATGATGCTGCTGATGATGACGATGCTGCTGCTGCTGCTGCTGCTGATGATGATTACGATGATGACGATGAGGATGAGGATGATGAGGAGGAGGATGAGGAAGGAGGAGTTGGAGGAGCAGTAGGAGGCGGTGTAACAGTACGGTGAGGAAGACGAGGCGGAGGAGGATGATGATGAGGATGATGATGAGGATGATGATGGAAATGAAAAGGAGGATAAGAAGGAGGAGGAGGAAACAGAGGAATCTGACTAGTAATGATAATACTTAGAATCATGAACATATGTATAATAATTTGCGTACGAAGAACAATACAGCAACCACTCATAATGATACGAATGCTAAAACCAATACTCGTGCTAATCATCATGCGAATATGCATACGAGTAATACTAGACCCAGAAACACATTAATACTGATAGGAATACTACGACAAATGCTATAACAAAGTAGAATAAGGCTAAACAACGTTCAGCGGATGGGAAGCAATGCGAAAAGGTATGACCATGCAGCTCAGCGATGTGTTCAGCGAGATCTTGAAGCGAACTGCCCCACCCCACCGTGTGTAACTGTTGCGCAAGATTACACTTCCAGTCATTCATGTCGAGGAAGTTTCAAGCGAGAGCTCTGGTTGACAAAGGAGCCGTCCTCGATCCTTGCAGCGGCACAAGTTTAGGACAAAGGTGCGCGGCGCCAAGGCGAGAGCTCAATTTTGAACAGGAGCCGCCCTGCGTCCTTGTGATTCGTGCAAGCTTTTGAGACAGATGTGCGGGCGCGAAGGCGAGGGCTCCGTGTTGAAAACACGGCACCCTCCATCCTTGTAACAGTTGCAAGCTTGTGAGACAATTGTGCGCGGCGAGAAGGCGAGAACCGCAAGATCAAGCACTTACCCACCATTTTTGCGACAGTTGCAAACTTTTTGGACGAATGTGCGTGGCACTAAGGCGAAGGCTCCACTGTGAAAGCGACTCTCTCTTTTAACTCTTGCATGTTTAGCAAATTTCAAGCTTCAGGATCGTAAGTTTCGAGGAAATCACAGTCGCACTGCCTGGCCCGCCCTCCGGACACGTCTGGGGGTGCGCCAGGGATGCGTTATCCATGAGGAAAAGGGATGGAGGAGGAGGAGGTGGAGGAGGGAGGAGGAGGAGGACAGGAGGAGGGAGGAGGAGGAGGAGGAGGAGGAGGGGGAGGAGGAGGAGGAGGAGAAGGAGGAGGAGGAGGAGGAAGAGGAGGAGGAGGAGAAGGAGCAGGAGAGGAGGGAGCAAGCAGGAGGAGGGGAAAGAAGGAAGAGTGAGCAGGAGGCCCCAGTGCGAGGACGGCTCGGCGATTCCTGGCGACGCCGCTGCGGGCGGTGCAGCAGACGCCACCGGAGTCACCAAAGAACAGGCGCGGGGGCAGAAGAACGCACACACTCCAGGATGAGGAGGAGGAGAAGGAGGAGGAGGAGGAAGAGGAGGAGCAGGTGGAGGAGGAGGAGGGGGCGGAGAATACAGCTTTTCTGTTGGATGAATTCGGAGGAGCCCTTCCCCCCCCCTGGGAGGCCTCGGGAAGCGGAAAGCATCTCGGGGCCTCCAGAGGCTTGCGGAGACCTCCCGGCAATCTCCAAGACCCAGAGACTTCCCGACGACTTCCCAGAGGCCTCCAAGCAGGAGGGGTCGAGGCGCTCCCTCCCTGGGAGAAGAGGCCGACCCAGACCTCTGACGCCTTGACTTTTCAATATGTGGGCCCACATGTTGGGCGCTCCTGGGAGTGCCTTGGCTTCGAGGGATCGAGAGGTTGCCTTTCTTCGTTCTCTCTCTCTCTCCCTCTCTCTCTGTCTCTCTCGGCGGGGGGCGGCGGAGGGCCTGCGGAAGGCGGCGGAGATAATGCGAGGGGACGTCTCCGTCGCTGGCAGCCGCAGAGAAGGAGTGCGCCCCGAAGAAGGCCTTCATGCCATTTGTGTGATGCCTCCGCCTCCTCCTGGCTCGCCCGCCTCCCTCGCGCACTCTCTTTGGCGTCGCGGCCGCGCGCGCAGCGACGCGGCGGAGGGAGTCGGAGGTCAAAGCGAGCTCGAGCGCCGCAGAGGCCAAAGCCACCCAGCGAGGGAGCACGGGGTTCAACCACAGGGAACCACGCTGTGCGAGAGTCTCAGGGGGGGGGGCAGCCAGGCAAGGCCGCTGCTGCGCTGCTTCTCTCGGGTCGCCCCGGGAGTGCCTGTTGCAGCCGCCAGCTGGTGTGCCTCTGTTCATCGGGAGTGTGAGTATCAAACAGAACGAGGGGACGGCAGAGGGAACGAGTACGGAGGGGACGCGGCGCCTCCTTCGCACACTCGTACTCAACTTATCATAATCGTACTGACGTCCACTCGCTTTGTATACTGAGTCGTGCTCAGAGTTTCCCACCTTCAGTCGCTCATACCTACGAACGCACTCAGACTCACTCACGCTCAGACTGACTCAGACTCAGACTCACTCACGCTCAGACTGACTCGGGCTCAGACCCGCTCACATTTGGAACCATTCACTTTCAGACTCGTACCCAGACCACTCACACTTGTATGCGCTCATAGTCAGCTTCGTCATTCTCTCATACCCTGATTCGCTCGTATTCGGAAGCCCCATGACCACCGTCGTATAGCAGGCGCAGCATTGGGACACCCCGAGGGGGAGCCGACCAGGGGTGGACATTGGAGGGGCAAGGAGGTTGGAGGAACAAGCGTGGGAATCAGACGAGGCACCCTGCTCTGGATCTCTCCATCGCTTTCGCCCTCCACCCTGCTCCTTCTCCTCCAGTCGCTCCTGTCTCTCTTGCCCGCCCATCGGCGTACAACAACCCGCATCAAGACAAACTGCCGCAGATCCGCGCGGACCTCTCAGAAAGCTGAGGTCTGTTCGGTTTGTTGCGCCTCTGTCTCAGACTTGCGGCGTCACGAGCAGACCGTGACGGCATGTTCTTCGGGTTTCACTCCCGCCAGAGGCCCGTTTCGGGCCTCGGGGCCATCAGGGAACGGCCGGGGGCGACGGGCCTGGCCCAGGGGGACGGCTCGGGCGCTCCCGGGGCCCACGTTGCGACAGTGACCTCGGCGTTCCTGTTTCCCCTGCTGCCCCTGCTGCCCCTGCTGCTCCTGCTGCTCCCTGCGCCCCCAGCTGCTCTCGCTGCTCCTCCTGTCTCCTGGCCCTGGTCCTCCCGTTCTCCTCTGCCGCTCCCCCTGGTCTCGGTCTCCCCGCTTCTCCTGCTCCGCTTTCCTGGTCCTCCTGTTCCTTCTGCCATTGCTGCTCATGCACCCGCTCGTGCTGCTCTTGCTGCTGCTGCTGATGATGGTGCTCCTCCTCGTCCTCTTCCATCCTCCCCTCTGCCTTTTCCCCGACCCGTTATTATCAGTAGTTATGTCCTGTTGCTTTTGTTGCTGTTTTCACCCCCGCATGCCATCCTGTGGTGTGGTGTCCTCGTTTTGAGTCCGCAGCGCCGTGCGTCTCACTCCTTCCTCCTCCTCCTCCTCCTCCTCCTGCTCCTCTTCCCCCTCTTCTTCTTCCTCCTCCTCCGCCTCCTCCTCCTCCCCCCTCCTTTTCCTCATTGCCTCTGTTCTCCGCATGTCGATTTCGCCACTCCACACACGTTTCGTGGCCCCATGGGGAGCTCCACCAAAGGCCCCAGCGGTAGGGTTCGCATGCCGCCCCGCTCATTTCCGCACACCCATCACGCGCTTCTTGATTCTAGTGGGAGCTTTACCGAACGCCCCAGTGGCAGGGTTCGCATGCCGCCCCGAACCCGTGGCAGGGTTCGCATGCCGGCACGCGTCTCACACGCTTCGCGGCCCCATAGGGAGCTTTACCGAATGCCCCAGAGGCAGGGCTCGCTTGGCGCCGCCACGCCCATCTCGGCGGCGCACCACTCACACTCGCACCTTAATCTTTTCATCTGCCTTGCGGCGCCCAGATCTGCAAATCGTTGGGTTCTTCGCCAGGATAATTGCTGTCTTGCCTGACTGGGACGATGGCAGGAGGAGGAGGTGGAGGAGGACGCCGAGGAGGTGGAGGAGGAAACGGATGGTGATGATGATGCTGCTGCTGCTGATGATAATGATGCTGATGCTGCTGATGATGATGCTGCTGATGATGATGGTTATGATGATGACGATGCTGCTGCTGATGATGATGATGATGGTGATGCTGATGACGACGATGCTGATTATGATGATGCTGATGCTGGTGACCATGATGACGACGATGATGATGATGCTGACGATGATGATGATGATGATGATGATGACTATGATGATGCTGATGATGATGATGCTGCTGATGCTGATGATGCTGATGATGCTGATGCTGATGTCGATGCTGATGCTGATGCTGATGATGCTGCTGTTGATGACGAGGATAGTAATGATGGAGATGGTGTTGATGATGATACTGATGATGATGCTGATGCTGATGATGGTGACGATGATGATGCTGATGGTTGTAGTGGTGAATATGATGATGACTATGATGATGATGATGATGATGATGATGATGATGATGATGATGATGATGATGATGATGATGATGATGATGATGATGATGATGATGATGATGATGAGTGTGATGATGATGCTTATGATGATGCTGGTGATGGTGATGGTGATGGTAATGGTGATGATGATGATGATGATGCTGATGCTGATGCCGATGATAATGACGCTGATGATGATGACGATGCTGATGCTGATGATGCTGATGATGGTGGTGGTGGTGGTGAGGTGGTGGCGATGATGAGGATGATGCTGATGATAGTGGTGGTGATGATGATTCTGATGGTGGTGGTGATGATGAAGCTGTTGCTGCTGCTGATGCTGCTGATGATTGTGAGGATGATGATGAGGGTCATGATGATACTGATCATGATCATGATGATGATGATGATGATGATGATGATGATGATGATGATGATGATGATGATCATGATCATGCTCATGCTGCTGATGGTGTTGTTGTTGTTGCTGGTGATGATTATGATGATCGTGATGTTGATGCTGCTGCTGATGATGATGATGATGCTGATGATGATGAGGAAGAAGAGGAGGAGGAGGAAGAGGAGGAGGAGGAGGAGGAGGAGGAGGAGGGTGAGGAGGAGGAGGAAGCGGAGGAGGATGAGGATGAGGATGCGGATGATGAGGAGGAGGAGCAGGAGGATAAGAAGCGTTGGTCGCGGTATGTGTGTGTCTCCTTTGCCCCCCCGAAGGTGGTGAAGGAGGTCCGCATGGCCATGGCAGAGCCGAAGAATAGGCACTATTTACTTTCTATGCTGGTCGGGGAGGAGGAAGAGGAGGAGCATAGGGAGGACATGGCAGGAGTTCAATGATGAGAATCTCAATGTATGCAGTTGATTCGGCTGATGGTGTTGATAATGATGATGATGCTGCTGATGATGATTATGATGATGGTGATGGTGATGATGATGATGATGATGATGATGATGATGATGATGATGATGATGATCATGATGATCATGATGATGATGATGATGATGATGATGATGATGATGATGATAAATATGATGATGATGATGATGATGATGATGCTGCTGATGATGATGATTATGATGATGCTGATGATGATGATGATGATGGTGATGATGATGACGATGATGATGATGTATGGTGGCTGCGTCGAGGATGGCGATGGTGATGCTGATGATGATGATGCTGATGATGATGATGATGATGGTGGTGAAGATGCTGATGATGATGATGCTGGTGATGATGCTGCTGATGATGTTGATGATGCTGATGCTGATGATGATGGTGAATGTGATGATGATGATGACGATGCTGATGCTGATGTTGATGTTGATGACGATGACGATGATGACGATGATGATGCTGATGATGCTGATGATGATGATGATGATGACGGTGATGATGATGATGATGATGATGATGATGCTGGAAGAGAAACATCATAATACGATGACGATGATGATTCTCATGCTGCTGATGATGTAATGTTCATGATGCTGCTGATGATGATGAGGAGGAGGAGGAGGAGTAGGAGGAGGAGGAGGAGGAGGATCATGATCACGATGTTGCGGGTTTGTGATGGGTTCGATGGTGAGGAGGAGGAGGAGGTTGACTGATGATGATGTGTTGACCAGGGAACCGCATGTAGTAGGAAGATGAGGGGGGCATATGCGGTACTAATGGAAGGATGACGAGGAGGGAAGACCAGAAGAAGGAGCAGCACCCCATACCAGGCACCAGCTGCTATCCATGCTGGGCGTGGCGCTGTCGCAGGGGGCCCGCGCCTACCTGAGGCAGAGCAGCCAAGGGCTCAACTTCCTCCCCAGGTAACAATAACTCTAAGATGTTCCCTGTGCCGTCGGCAGTCTCCTCCTCTTCATCACCCTTCTCTATTATCCCATCTCTCTCTCTCTCTCTCTCCTCCCTCTTCTTCTTCCTCCTTCTCTTTTTCTCATCTTCCCTCCTTCCTCTTCCCCCTCCTTCTCCTCTTCCTCCTCCCCCCTTCCCGCCCCCACTTTTTCTTCCAGCCTCTCCTCCCTGCTCCTCCTCTTCCTTGTTCTTGTCCTCCTCCTCGACTTCTCGTAGAGGCCCTACGGCGGGCTGCCCCCCTACATAACGGGCGTGCCGGCCTAGCCGCTATCGATGCCGTGTCCAGCAGGTTGTGACACAATGTGGATGTGTAAATTAAGTGTACCCAGTAGACCCAGTCAGGCTCCTGACACTGAATCCGGCAGCCGCTTCGAGCTGCCCTTCCCCCTCGTCTCTTTCCTCCCGCTTTTGCCTCCTGGAGGAGGAGCGCCGGCTAGCACTGCTGGGGCGGGCCGGCTCTCCGCCACTTCTGCCTGTCTCGTCCTCGCTCTTCCCCGACTGCTCGAGCTCCATTTCTGGACAACTTGTCTGTCGGAGGATGCTGCAAGCGCAGTCTTTGCTTGACCGAGCGTCCTCCTAAGCCCTGGGCACTTTCTTTTTTCGTCCTCTCCTCTCCTCTCCTCCCCCCTCCGTCCTCCACGGAGTTCGATGCTGGATGCTATGCTGCATCAGTTTGCATGATGTTTTGCATTTTTTTTGTTTTGTTTTTGTTTTTTTTGCCTTTCTGGGGTCGCGCTGCATTGTAGGAGCGTTGTTCTCCTGCTTGCGCGCGCCATCTGCCCGCGGTCCCGCCGCTTCTGCGCGGGCGGCGCTGGCGTCCCGCCAAGCGTACTTGCCAGGCGTTTTGCCCCGCCCTGTCCGGAAGTCTGCGGTTTGGCCCTCAGCGGGCTCGAGCTGCTGCCCCATCGGGCCGACGCAGTTCCTCCTCCCTGGTCTCCTCGCTTCCTTCCTCGTTGCTCGTTTCTTTTTCTTCTTCTTTTCCAATATATTTGATCAGATTTGAGGTTTCAACCTGGTTGTAACATCGGTCGCGCCGCTCGCACACTTGGCGTAGCTCGTCTGCCCAGGCATGAGGTGGTGTTCTGGCTCATCAGCTGTCCGCTCGTGTGGGTCCTCTGTGCGGGTACCCTCTTCGGCACAGTCCGGGGAATCAGGTCTACGCACACACACGAGATTTAGTTTTCAGGTGCCCGCTGACGTCTCTCCTCTGTCTCCTCCTCCTCCTCCTCCTCCTCCTCCTCCTCCTCCTCCTCCTCCTCCTCCTCCTCCTCCCCCCTCTCTCCCCTCCTTTGCTTCGCTTTTTGTGCGTCTCCCCTGCACGTCGAGTTGCAGGGAAATCCACAACGTGCGCGGGCTGCGCCTCTGACTGCTTCTCACGGCCTGGACTGGGTGATTTATGTGGCGCTGGATTCGGCAGTGCTAGCTCATCGATTGTCATTCGGCGCCACCATCGGTCTCGTTTTATAAACTTCCCCTCGCTCGCCGCCGAGTGATGGTGGCAGTAACGTGTGTGCAGCCTGTTGTATGATTCGTGGTTGTTGCAGTAGTTATATTGTAGCAGCGTGTGCATGAGTTAGTGTGTGATATTGCAGTAACCGTTTGCGCTTTCGTTGCGTGAGCGTGCGATCGAGTTTGCTCGAGGCGAGTTGCGTCTCTTCCTGTGTGCTGCGGATCTCGAGGTGAGCAGCTGCCATGGCTGTCGCATAGTGGTCGCCGCTCGCCTTCAGAGGAATCGGTCCTGCTATCGTCCTTGTCCCTCGCTTGCCCCACTCAGCGACGCTTCCTCGATGGTGGCGCCTTCACCCTTCGGGGTGTGCGCGCTGGTCTCTTGGTCGCGCGCCCGCCCGTCTCCTGGGTTGTCGTTGTTGCCTCTGCTGTTGCACCGGTCCTCCTTCTGTTGGCAGTTGACTCGGTGCCCTGGGCCGTGCACCGGCGTCGCCCGAGAGGGCCTGCCGATCGTTCCCCGCGTCCACTGTGTCGGATGCAACTCCTGGGAGGTCAAATTCTGATTTTGCCCTGGTCCGACATCCGGCTTCATCCCGCTTAATCCCGCTTAATCCCGCTTTATCCGGCTTAACCCCGCTTAATCCCGCTTAATCCGGCTTGCTCCGAGGCCCACTCCGGCGTAACAGCCCCCCCTCATGGGGCATATAATCCTCTTCAATCCTTCCGACGAAAACCTTCCAGTAGTTGCCCCCTAACGCTGTGGTGCCGAGCTTGCAGATCAGCAGGGTGGGCTCCCCACCATACGCTCCGCAGTCCGGCCGTCCTCGGGCTCTTCCCGGAGCGGGGCTCAACTGCCTCTCCCCTCCCGTCCGATCCTCCTCTTCCCGAAGGGTGGGCCGCCGGTTGCTGAGCCTGTTCGAGCGGAACGACGCTTCTCAGTCTGCCGCGCGTTTTTTTGTTGTTGTGTGTGTGGTTTTCCGTTTTTTCCCGATGATCAACGTCCCTCAAACCTCTCCTCAATGCAGCGTCGACGTCCTCGCATGAGCGCACGCTCTGCGGCAAGATGCCCACCGCGCCCGCTGGAATGCGACACGCTGAGACAACCTAGCTGGGCTGCAGATTTCTACGCGCACACGGCCCCCCCACCCCCCAAAAAAAAGCTTGCTGCGCGTCTGTTCGAGCGCCAGGGGCACGGGCGCGTGGTTCTCGAGTGCGTCGACGGTCTTCTGAAGCCTCTTGAGTTTGCGCTGGGAGGTCTTCCTGCGGATGCGATTGCGTGTGCATGGATCCTGGGAGCCCATTGTTGGGCGTTGGATGGTTTCTTGGGAGCTCAATGTCTTGGGCTCAGCGTCAGCGCTCCTTGGTTGAAGCATGTTCTGGCTGACGGCCCGAGCGCTCGCGTCCTTCTCTGTGCTTGGTCTGATCGTGCGATCCACGTTCCCTTAGCGAGTTTTGCTGATGATCTGTGCCGCGCCCAGCTCTTGTGATCGCGTCACGGATTCGCAAGGTTATGTGCCTCATATATAGCGACCATCGAGGACGGGGCCGCTATTGCCGGCGTTCGCGTTAACGGAGGGGAGCGATAACTAATTGTCCACTTCCAAGGGCGAGGTGCCCATGTTTCCCATCGTACGAGGTGTTCTGGATCATTTGTGGCGTTGGCTGGCGCGTGGATGCTTAGCGCGGGGGATTTTATTCCTGGTAGGTCAAGAGGAAATCCAAGTATTCGGGCAACTTTGCTAGTGATGTTGGTCGTTGCAGTAATGAGGCTCCTTCCCGTATCGTCAAGGATAAGTCAAGTTTTGGGATCCTGGGGAAGTGCTGGCATATGTGCACGGATGTGGGGTGGAAAAGCATAGTCTTCGAGGCTCTCATTGGAGAAATCCTGACGTTAGGGATGGTTGCTTTTGACTTTCGCTTGAGTGCCTCTCACGTTTGGATGGCGCCCAGGCCACTTTTGCTCGGCGCGTGCTTCGCCGGGGATGCTTGCATGAATGTGGATATGCAGGAGGATAATATTGACTACAAGGCGCGTGCGACGCAAAACGTGTACAGTCAGCTCAAGTGGTGCCCTGTCTCTCTCTCTCTCTCTCACCGCTTGCGAGTGCAACGCTTGCAGTGGTGCCAGGGTGTTTGAAGGCGTCCTGTGGCCAACGTTGAGTTGCTGGGCGCGCAGTCCAGGATCTCGGAATGGGCGGAGTCTATGTCTGTGGATCGAGATTGGTGCACGAAGTGGGAGGGTGTAAACAGGTCCTTCGAGACGTTTCGGAGCTGGCAAGGGTCGGCGAGTTTCTGGTCCTACTCTGTTGCCCCTCTCCTGCGGCGATGATGTGCGCAGTTATTTTCTTGCAGGGGATCCCCGCGTCCCTCGCAGCGAGTGGCTAGGTGCGCGCGTGCCCTCCTCCTCCTCCTCCTCCTCCTCCTCCTCCTCCTCATCCGCCTCCCTCACCCGCCTCCTCCTCCTCGGCCTCCTCCTCCTCCTCCTCCTCCTCCTCCTCCTCCTCCTCCTCCTCCTCCTCTCTGTCTCCCCATCCTGCATCTCACCTTTACATATCGGGCTGCTCTGGCTTCCGGCATCGCGTGAGCATGCATCCGTCTTTAATCCTGTGCGCCTCCAAGCCGCGTTATTCTACGCGCTCCTCCCTCTGCTTCTTCCCCCGCTTGGACTTGTTTGTGACCTCAGCCTCTGGGGGGTGGGGGGGGCGGGGGTGTCAGTGGAGCTGCGTTCCCGCTGAGGAGTCAACTATGGTTGCGTCAAAGTAACCCTCGTCTTCTTAATCGCGGCCATCGTGTCTTGGCTGGGATTCAAACGCTTGTGCTGTAGTTGGGAGCCTTTGCGCAGTCAGCGGTTGGCTAGCGACCACCTGGTTACGAGTCTGGATCGGGGTCGTTGTCCGAGGTCCCAGGGTTTTGCGATACAACGTGGTCATGAGTCCTCTCCCATTATGAATGCATGCTATGTGGGATTTCGTTCAATGATTCTTCTGTGGTTCAGTGTCATGGGACACCCCATCTACCTCTCAAGTTCCAAGGTCTCTTTCTCTAACCCGTGATGTAGCAGCAGTGTCTGCAAGGCTCGGCAGTAACGGGGAGAATCCGGACGGGGACAACGACGCTGGCTGGGCTGACGACGGCGCTCAGGCTCGTGAGCGCGTTGCCGTGCAGTCTACGGCTGAGGCTAAGGCAGATGAACTTGGGTGCGATTGGTTTGGGGGGGAGGGGGAACCGCTGTCTCGAGGCGGCAGCGACGAGCCAGTTCGCAATGAAAGTGTAAGATCCTACGCGCGTGGCGACGAAGTCTGCCGGCGATCCCGAGTACCTGTCGCGTGTCAGGGACGAAAACATGTCACGAGTTCGGAGCGCCAGACAGCTTCCAGCTCTCAGTGGCGGCCGTGCCGTGGTCCTAGCCTCGAAGGTGCCGAGCCGCAGCAGCGCATAAATCGTTAATGCATGGGTAATCAAGCCCCAGGGTCTTTCCAGCCCAGTTGATCGTCCGCTTTTTCAGGGCGGAGCAGTTTTTCGATTCCAAGGTGCGCCGTTTAATTGTGGCCACGCCGGACAAAAAAAGGTCTGGAATACGTTGTGGCCTCTCTATTGCACGGGGTGTTTCAGCTTGAGGTGTTCACGGGCCCGAGGCCTGCCCGCCACCTCGAGATCGAGGGCCAAACTATGCTTGCCCTGTAGCTGGAATCCGGTTCAAGTCGCTGGGTTCGGCCCTCACCGCTTCGGGGTCCCATTTTCATTCGTGCCGTGCTAGCGGACCTGGAGGGTGCCCGCTTGCGCTCGCGTCAGGTCGTTTCTGGCTTCCGCTTACTGTTGCCCGCCTCCTACTTGCGCCAGTGCCCGTCGGCCGTTGTTCCCTGGCTCCGTCCCCACGACTGCGAAGGCCTTACGGCCAGTACCGCCGACCTTGAGGGGGAACGACGACAACGGCGGCGGCGGCGACGGCAACGGCGCTGACGCGGGTCCGAGAGTCCCCACGGATGCTTCCTGGGGTCTCTTCGAAGCGCCCTCGTGGGCCTCCTGGGGGCCTCTTGGGAGCCCCTTGGGGGGCCTCTCGGGCCTTCCTGGGGGCCTCTTGGTGGCCCCACGGTTTTGCATTCCGTCGCCGAGGTTTTTCTCTCGGCGTGCGTGTCGTCTTGCAGCGCGGCCGTGCGCCGGCGGGCGCCGAGAGCGGCGCCGTCGCCGGCGCGCCCCCGGTCGTGGGCTGCCGAGGCCCGGCAGTGACGGGGGCAATCACAAACCTTCTCCTCCGACCACTTGACGTTGGTCGCAGCGGCGCTCCACCACCACCACCACCCCTTCCACCACCACCACCGCCTCTTCCTCCTCCTCGTCGTCGTCGTCGTCCTCGTCCTCCTCCTCTCCTCCTCTCCTCCCCCCGTCCCTTTCCCGTCTCCGTCCCCGTCGCCCTCGCCGTCCTTCTTCTCCTCCCTTCTCCTTTGACCTCTTCCTCCTCGTCTTCCTCTTCCCCTTCTTCCTCCTCCCCCTCTTCTTCCTCCTCCTACTTCTCCTTTTCCCTGCCCTCTCGCTTTACCTTTCGTTCCCATCCCCCCCTTCCTCCTCCTCCTCCCCCTCCTCCTCCACGTTCTCCTCGCCTTTTTCCTTCTCCCCCTCTCCTCCCGCCCAGGCAAATCGACCAGGGGCTGAAACACTTCCTCGCCCAGTTTCCCAGCGAGTTCTCTGTCGACGGCGGCAAGGGCTGCGAGTATGTGACGTACAGGCCGGGCGGCCGACAACACGTCCTGGCCCGCACGGACATGAGCCTCCTGTTCCTCAGACCTTTGGCGGCTCGACAAGGGTGCCTTGCAGGTTTTGGACCAAGGTAATGGAAGTTTTTTTTTTGGGGGGGGGGGGGGGTCTCGGGGCGCTTCTGATGTCCCAGACCTCTGGCGACTCGAAAAAGCGTGCCCAGAGGTGTCTCGTCGATCTCAATCTCCCCACACTCAGTGAGGTCGGGGCCTACCAAGCAAAAACTCCCTCTTCCCACCTCCCACCGCCACCCTGGCCTCCTTGGGGCCTCTCCAGGGCTTACACCGGCCCGTTCGCAGCGCGTTTTTTTTTGGAGGGGGGGTGGCCACTCCTCTGGCCGTCCTGCAGGCCCCTCGGGCCCCCGCCGCCCCTCTGCCGCCCGCAGGCCCGTCCAGGTCACCGACGGCGACGGCCCCGTGCCCAACTACACGCCGATCCAGCTGAGCGAGGCGCTCGCGCCGCCGGCCCACCTGGTGTCCCACGACGCCTACGCCGGGCCCGCCGGCGCCGGGCTGCCCCCCTACGTCGGGGCCGCCGCCGCGAGGGCGGTGGGGTCGTCGGCGCCGGCGGCGCCGAAGGACCGTGCGTGCCCCTCCCCGGGAGGAGCGGGGGGGGGGGCGGGCGCCCGTGGGGGGAGCGGCGGCCGACGGAGGCTCACGCTGCACGGCGCCGCCGCCGGCGATTGGGGCTCCTCATGAGGTCCGGCTTCGGCGGGGGGCGAAACGGGCGACGGCTCGGACGAAGGGGCAGAGTGGAGGAGGAGGAGGAGGAGGAGGAGGAGGAGGAGGAGGGAGGAGGAGGAGGAGGAGGAGGAGGAGGAGGAGGAGGAGGAGGAGGAAGAGGAGGCGGAAGAGGAGGAGGGGGAGGAGGAGGAGGAGGAGGAGGAGGAGGAGGAGGCGGAGGTGATGAACTGTAAGACTACCTCGAGGTCAGGCGTCGTTCTCCCTGACGGGCACATATTAGGAGCTAGTCCTCCGCATCACAGAACCCAAGCTCGTGTAACGCCGCCTCCCGTTGGACTCGCGGCTGCGTACTCGCAAAGGTCGCGGCAGCGGAGGTGTCAACAAAACCGTGCAAATGCGCCACCTCCAAATCAACCAGCGGCGGCGGCAAGGCGAGACCGTACCTCCCCCGCCACCGAGCACTCCCCGCCCCCTTCTTTGTTGCCGTCAAGCGACGGCAGCACGTCTGACCAGTGGTCGATGATCGCCTGAGAGGGCGCGCGAACCTGACCGATGCGAGGGTTGAGCCTGCCTGGGTACTGAAGCTTCCTGAGGCGAGCTCTCTGCAATGTAAGCCCTCGGCTCTGACTGCCAAGACACCGCGCATCGATTCCTTTGCCCCTACTCCAGAACCTTGCATCAGGGGCCCCGCACACCTTGCAGAAAAGAATACGCAGACCGTTTTCAACGGCGTCACCGCCAGGGATCAGCTCAACGGGAGCTTCCACAACAGAGTGCCCATTGAAGCTCCAGGGGATCCTTCCAAACTCGACTAGGTCGGGCGAAGGGACCGAGGAGACCGCAGCGGCATAGGCAGCCGCAGCAGCAGACTCAGCAGGAGGAGGAGGGGAGGGGAACGAGGACGGAATACCAACCCCTTGCTTGTAGGGCTCGACCCCTTGGGGCCATTGGGGCCTCCAATGTCAAACAGGACGTCAGAGATGCCTGCTATCCCATCGGAGTCAGCAAATCCAGCGGCCCGAAGGCTGCCTGCGCACGAGCATGCCAGCCACAGGCTGCCACTGCCACGGTCTCAATCCTTTCAATGAACAGCACCTGCTGGGGGCTGGGACGGCCCAGAGCTTCGCGCCCTTCTTAGCCCATAAGTCGGCAAGCCGGTTACCTTTCAAATACCAGGCCTCAAACTCGTCAGACGCCGACTGCAAGGCAACATGAGCCCTGAACCTTGTGGACTTGGGTGCGGCTCCCGATGCCGTCCCACCAGGACTCCCAGAGGTGCTTCCGAGGGTTGGTAGGGTCCAGAGTGACTCTAGGATCCGACGCAGCACCGAAAGAACAGAGACAGTCCGAGTAGACCACGAGCGGGTCCTTTGAATTCCACTCTGAGATCTGAGAGAGACTATGAAACGCATAGTCCTCCCCGTCCCGCGCCGTCTGCGCAGGGGCAAGGTCTGTGTGTGTGGTGGGGAGCAAAAGCATAGGTATCCCCCTTGAGTTGGCCAGCTCTGTCCACCTGCACAATGGACCAGCCGCTCGGCTGAGGCCTGAGAGAGAGGTGTGGTACGCACTCCCGTTCACGAAGACAGCTCCAGAAAACTTCCAGTCCACTGGCACCCCAACCCATCTTCGAAGATGCTCAGGCTGGGGCGGGGCCTTAGGGAAGGAGCGAGAGTGGCTGGGGAAGCGGCAGCGACAAAAGAGCTCCAGACGTAACTCGCCGCATTTGTCCCTGACTCGTCTGACAGCCTTCTGAGGGAGCGAGGGGTATTTGTCCTTCCTGAGCGGGCCCACGCAGGGATACTCGTAACACCTGTGAACCAGGGTTCCCCTGCCTCCTCCGCAGAGGCAATACTTGTCATGGACACTCTTACCATGACCATACAGGAGGAGGAGGAGGAGGAGGAGGAGGAGGAGGAGGAGGAGGAGGAGAAGGGTGAGGAGGAAGAGGAGGAGGAGGAGGAGGAGGAGGCGGAGGAGGAGGAGGAGGAGCAGGATGCGGAGGAGGAGGAGGAGGAGCATGAGGAGGAGTATGAGGAGGAGGAGGAGCAGAAGGAGGAGGAGAAGGAGGAGGAAGAGGCCGAGGAGGTCGAGGAGGAGGAGGAGGAGGAGAAGGAGGAGGAGGAGGAGGATGAGGGGGAGGAGGTGGAGATTTGCGCATTATAATCCTGAGACCAGGACATTTCAGCAGCTGCACGGAGGGAAGGTGAGTGAAGTTCCGATTGCGGCTAGCGCTTGGGCGCCGCGCGCATTCGTCGTGAACGATCGCGTTTGTCACACGGGTGGAGGGTAGTCCCCCTTCTCGGAATGGACCACCCGCTTGGAGATGGAGCACCCGCTTGGGTCTTCTCAGGTTAGCGACCCGACGTTTCAGTTGTTGCGTCACTGGTAAGCGTGGTGGGCGGCGTTCCCTTTTTAAGTTGAGCGCTCGCTGGCGAATTCACAGAGTTTATTACCCGAAGCATAACATTGGCAACCGCAAGTGGGATTGGTCTTGTTTCCTTTTCACAATGTGGCTATCCTTTGGCGTTCGAAACAGCTACAGCGGTGGATAGGCGTTCCGTTTCAGAACGGGATCGCTCATGGACCGCTCGTTTTTCAAAAAGGTGTTTTGCACATTGCAGGGGCTCATGAGGAGGGGACTGCGGACGGGGGGGTGTATGCAGCACTGTTGAGGTATCCTGGGTTTACTATGCCCCTCCTCCTTCTCATGTTCCCCACTCCTCCTCTTAGTCGAACCGTATGCTCCTCCTGGACCGCAGCATGACCAGGACTTCGAGGTGGATCTAGTCGTTCCGACGAAGGCCCACCGTGAAGGCCCACAGACCAAGGACGTATGAGGAAATCATTTGAGATGAGGAAGGCGATGACGATGACGACGATGACGATGACGACGACGATCATGGTGGTGGTGATGGGTATGAAGATGCTGCTGACGATGCTGACCATAATGATGGAAACGAAACATCATAATACGATGATGATGATTATGATGCTGCTGATGATGTAATGTTCAGGATGATGCTGATGATGATGACGAGGATGATGCTGATGGCGATAATGATGGCGATGCTGATGATGCTGATGCTGCTGATGATGTTGATGATGATGACGATGCTGATGATGCCGATTATGCTGATTACGATGATGATGCTGATGATGCTGATGCTGATGCTGATTATGCTGATGATGGTGGTGGTGGTGGTGACGATGATATGGATTCGGATGATTATGATGATTCTGGTGATGCCGACCCTGATAATGGTAATGCTACCGAGAATGCTGACGGTCATGATGACTACGATGTGATAACAATACTGATGCCTAGGTTCTTGTGGTTGTTGGTGTTGCTGTTGCTGCTGTTGCTGCAGTTATGGTTGTTGTTGGTGTCCGTGTAATTGTCGTCGTCGTCTTTCTTGTTGCTGTTGTGGCTGTGGTTGTTGTTGTTGTTGTCGTCGTCGTTCTTGTCGTTGTCGTCGTTCTTGTTGTTGTTGTTGTTGACGAAACCACTCGCTGGCGCCACCCCCCTGGCGCAACGCAACGCAACGCAACGGACCCTCCCCCCCACCCCAGTCGCAACGCAATGCAACGCAACGCAACGGACGCAGGTGAAGAGGAGTGTAGCAGGAGAGGGGGGAGGAGCAGGAGGAGGAAGAGGGGTAGGAGGACGCAGCCGTTGTGGTATTCCCGTGCTTCCATTTCGTCGTCGTCATCGCCCTCTGTCTCCCTGTCTGTCTGTCTGCCGCCGCCGCCGCCGACGACAACGACGAAGACCACGACGACGACGACAACGACCTCTCGGTTCTCTTGGCGGTGCTGAGGCCGTCTTGGGCAGGGGGGGGGGGGGGGTGAAGACTGTGAGGTGTGACTACTACTACTTCTACTTCTGACATAACAACAACAACGACTACTACTACTACTGCTACTACTACTACTACAACTACTACTAATACTACTACTACTACTAATAATAATAATAATGCTACTACTCCCATTACTATTGCTACTACTGCTGCTGCTACTACTACTACTATTAATAGTAGTACTACTACTACTACTACTACTACTACTACTACTAGTTGTGTGACTACTGTTGTGGTTACTACTGGTACGACTACTGTCGTTACTACTGCTATTACCAATGCTATGTTTTTCTGCTGCTGCTACTACTACTACTACTACTACTACTACAAGTAGTATAGCTACTACTGCTATTACTATTTTGACTGCTGCGGCTACTACTATCAGTGCTAGTAGTAGTAGTAGTGGTAGTAGTAGTAGTAGTAGTAGTAGTAGTACTACTACTACTACTAAACTACTACTACGTACTAGCAGTAACACAGCGACTATGACAACATCAGCAACTACACGCACAACGAAGTACCACTACGTGCGACGTACCACGTACTACGTACTACGTTTATCATATCACGTATTGTGTACGAGGTACTACGTGGTCAGTATTCCTAGTATTGCTACTATTACTATCGGTACGATTAGTCACTACTAGTAGTATCATCATTACTACTACTACTACTACTACTACTACTACTACTACTACTATTTCTGTTGCTGCTACTAGTACTCGTGGTACATCTACTGCTACTACTGCTGCTGCTACTACTACTACTACGACTACTACTACTGCGACCAGGACTACTACGACGTCGACGACGACTATTATTACTTTTGCTACCACTATTGTTTCTATTACTGTCACTCTTACTACATTTACTATTTCTATTACTGTTGCTACTACGACGCCTCCTACTACTATAGGTGTTTCTACTACTACTGCTGCTACTACTACTTTCACTACTACCACTACCACCACAACTACCACTACTACTACTACTACTGCTGCTGCTACTATTACTACTACCACTGCCACTACGACT